CTAGAACATCTTGCTTACTCAGCCTAGTCAGGTGATCAGGTCATATGACCAAGGATGAGGTCATATGAGGTCATGCACAGCCATGCACAGCAGGTCACCTGACCATCCAATCCTTCCAGCAGGTTCCAGCACATGCCAAGGTATACCAGCTACTTCCATGTCATAAAGGCTTAGTCATGTCTCTTGACCAAGCAATGAGCTGGTGCCCTGACAGGTGTGACATCAGCTACTAGTATGCCCCTTGTTCTTTTTTATTCCAGTGTAACTCTTCTCGATATGTTTTTACATCCCTCCTGCCAGTGTGTCCCGAGACCAAGTTAAGTTAGAATGTCATTTTGAGTGTTCACCTTGGTTGTGCTGAAACCAAAGGCTAATGGTGGATGGAATGCACTACACGTTCAACCCTATCAATGCCCGGAGTCTCTGCTGCTGATATCCGTCTCGGTGCGTGGGATATCCCCTCTTTAGCTTCTGGATTAATCGATTGTGGACAAGTCGACTCTATCTCGGCGTGGACGGTCTGATTTTCCACTTCTGAAATTCTGGGAGACATTTTAATGCTGCCTTCATAGTTTTTCATGTAATCAGCAAGGCTGCTTATCCTTGCAAAAACAGCACTGTTAGTCCACGCCGTATTCGCCGCCTCGCTCGTCACTATCATTCCTTATGGTGTTCTCGTTCCACCAAAACCCAAAAGAACTTTACAATGTAACGAGATAGTCGAGCATCTCATCTCTGTCTATAGAGGTATCATAATCAGCACACAGGGCAGTGGTACAAACAAGGGACGGCCATAAGGACAATAAACATAAATCGACCCAGGATCGACCCGAGGGGGGAACAAGAACGACGTGATACATCCATACAAGACCGCGTTCCTCATGTACAGATCCTCAGCGACATAAAATCCAAAACGTAAGGGGAGCAATAATTAGGAAGCAATAATGTTGGTCGTTGTTTCGCTTGCCTCGTAGATGGCGCTGGCGAAGGCGAAGAGGAGGCTTACGAGAGCCCCAACGATGCGCGCACTCGAGGGTACTCCGCCGATATCTCCCTGCGCCCAGACGCATGCGAGGCGGACAATGGCAAAGGTAATAGGGTCGAGCTGCTTGCGGGGACGGGCAAGGGAAATAAGGGACCCCGAGATGTACGGGATGATGAGCGAAGGGAGAGCCCAAGTGAAAAGGGCCTGGAATGTTGCTAGTGAGACTTGAGGAACAGCGATGGCAATCGTAGCCAAACGTGGGGCAGTAACGGGCGTTGTTCCGGGAGGGGCTGCCGTCCGAGGAAGCGAAGGGATCTTGATCTTTTGGCTAAGTCAGATGGACATTCAGTGAAAAGCAAGAGAATGGCGTACAAGTTGATAGCGGACAGGTAATATGGTATAGACAAGCCATAACACGTCTGCTATGAGGGTAGCAACAGCGATGAGCTCGGGGTCAGATAGGAGCTGTACCCAGTTGTCAGTGCCGCACTGATATGGAAGGCACAAACCGACCTCCCGAGTAGCTTCCAGCCACTCAAATGGTGTCTTCTTCCAGTCGAACGACCTTGCTGTGCCTGGCCTTGCTAGAACCACAGAGCTTGGGCTGGTAGCAATTACTATTTCGGTGCTTTGAGCGACCACTTCAGCAGCTTCCTTTGCCTCTGCACGTTCAATTGCGGCTTCCACAAGTCCCTCTATAGCGCTTCCATTGGCACTGCATGGAACGTCAAACAGAGGGTAGGGTGTGTTGCTATTGACACTTACGTCGCAGGAACCTCACTACTCTCATCTTCCTCCTCTTCACCTTCGACCCTGAGCTAGAGTTAGGGTGGACAGCGAGCAACGAGAAATGGGGGGCGTACGTCAATCTCGTAGTAGCTCTCCTCGAACGCCCTGCGGGGTACAATCCCAAGAAGCGGGGATCACTTGAAAAAGTGTCGCGATTGTCCGCAAGGGAGGTCTTAATTCCTTTGATGAGGCCATCCCGGACCAGCTTCTCGGCGTTCGGCACACCAAGGGCGACGGCGATGGTGACAAGCTCCTCCTTGCGCTTGTTGTTGAGGTTCGGACCGGTAAATATAGTAGTAGCCATGAGCAAGAGTATTGCCGACGGCGAGGAAGGAGAAGGGAGAAGTCGAGGAAGTAGACCACTTGCTGATGATGGCTGTCAGGGATAAGCAGGGTACCAGGCAGCTGGACGCGACACGCTTCCCTTTCACGACAACAAGCAAAAGAAAGTCACGTGATCATATCCTTGCTTCACACGTGGCTTTTGTTTTGCTTCCCATTGTTTTGTTGCTTTCAGCTGTCCGCCCTGTCACCCGTCCCGGAGAAACGTACATTCTACTGTATGTCTATAGTGTCAATGCCTGGATTTATCCAAGTAGTCGCACACAAAGTCCATCAAACGGACTCGCGTTCGACAGTTGCCATAGTCGTCACAGTCCCGCCGTCTTCAATCTCGAGGTCGCACAAATCGCCGCCGTCTACGAGCCCAAGGTGATCCTCAGCGGGATTTGTTTTGCGTTTGATAGCCGGGATAGTGGTCATAGTCCCGGTATCCTCAATCTCGAGGTCTGAGGAGTCGGCGTCCACCATCCGAGCAGGATCATTCTTCTCGCCCTCAAGAAGCTCTAAATCTGACAGAGAATGTTGCGCATCCTCCACAGACGGCGCTGGAGGGTCCGCCAAGTGTGCAGGGACGCTAACGCCAGAACGGACCTTGACTCCTGGTCGTGAGCCCAACTTTGGCTGAATGTGAACATCTCGTCGATCAAGGAGGGCGTGCACCTATGTCTCATAAGCGAGGCACTGGTGCTCCAGATGCACAAGACTCACATCCCGATTCTTCGCTTCCGCTTTCCGTTTATCGGCCTCAGCCTGTCCACCCCGGCCCATGAAAGCAGGATTAAACCCGATCTTCTTCACCGTATCCGGACCAAACGCGCTCTTGACCTTCGCATGCTCCGTACTCTCCTCCACAACTCTGCCGATCCTATTTCCATGAATGGTGAGCTTTGTCGTCTTGCCATCGAGCAAATCCTTGAGCTCTTCGTCCATCTTGCTTCTCTTCTTCTTTCGGAGATCTCGCTCAACCCGTTCCCGACCGAGTTTCTCGCCGACGAACTCTTCTTGTGGTGCTGGTCGGGCGTTGGATCGCAGCACATGACCTTCCATGATGTAGGTTGGACCGCCCCCGGAATCGCGTGGGGCTGTCATTGGTCGGCCTTTTGCCGGTAGCAAGCCTTGCTTTTTCTGATAATCAGGCCCGGAGGACGGTCGAGAAGTCGTAAACCCAGAAGTTCTATAACGCGCCCATCAGATGAAGGTGTCTGGGGATTCGGGGAATGAACTTACCCCACAGCGAATTCCGGACGCGCTGCACGCAAAGTCTTGACCCTTTGCTGGATATGATACTCGCAAACATCGTTCGCCCGTCTGTCGGATTTCAGCCTCCTTGCCCCAAGGAACAATTGGCGACATACCGGTCACACCAACCATTACATTGGCTCCCGTCCTTGCGTCGCGCGGCACAACGTGCAAGATCTAGGGACTGGCCGAGGACGACGACCGACTCCTCGGTGCTGGGTGTAAGTGCGAGGATGTTGTCCGTTCGATGGGGTCTGTTGTCCCCACCCTAAGATAGCAATCAGAGAGAGTGAAAGCCATCGCTAACCCTCTTACCTGAAAAGGCCGGAGAATTCGAGGGTTGAGGAGGGCGACAACACTGCCCTCCCTCAACGTTGCTGCCCACAACTCGAATGCCCCCCCACTCCCACCCTTGTACACCTTGTTTCCACCCTCTTCGTCCGGCTCCTCCCTGACTTGGTTGGCCTCAAACAAAAGCAGGCAGAGCATCGCGTCCCCTCTCGAGCTCCCGCCTTTGGTCGACCCGGTTCCCCCTCCCGCAGGCTTATTCCCAAAGTCTACGAGTTTGAGCGTGATATACTTCTTCCCCTTGCCCTTCTCCTCCTCTTCCAGCTTCTTCCTCTCCCTTGCCCTCCAGTCCTTCTTCTTTCCGCCTTCCTCGTCCGAGCTCGCCACCTCCCCATCTTTCCTAACCGCTCCGCGGGAGAGCTTCACCTCCCCCCTCTCAGCCACAACGGCGATGGTCACCCAATCACCCGAGACGGGCACATCATACCCCTGCTTGTCGGACGAAAGCCTCACGACAGAGTAGAGCAACGACGGGGGGAGGTAGAACCTTCCGGTAAGGTACGACCTGACATCTTCATGCGAAACGCGCCTCGACCTGCTCCAAATCAGCTTTTCCTCCTGAGTGAAAACAAGTGAGACGCAAACGCACGACAGCCTTATCCCGGAATTGGGTTCCAGGCGCTCAAACCTCGGGTCCTCAGCACTGGGCTTACACTCTCTAGGCCCAGGGTCAAGCTGCTCAATAATTTTGAGCTCCTCGTCCCTCCCCACTACGGGGACAACCTGCACCGCAGGAGCGTGGAACGCGCTAGACCGCTGGACAGGCTCGGGCGCTCTAGGTTCTGGAGTGGCGTGCAGACGCTGGAGGGAGGAGAGCATGTTACTTGGTCGTGGTGGTCTGGAGGATGTGCTTGGGTGTTGGGTGGGGGTGGAGGATTGGAGTGCGGGGGTGTTGACAGGTTGAGGGAAAGGGGGCCCTTTGTGCACGACCTGAGGTTGCTCGATCTTGCGTCTCTTCGCTATCCGTAATCAGCATTTCAACCGTCTTCCCCCAAATAAAATCAAAGCAGACTCACACGCATCCTTCACCGGACTATCACCAACAAGTACCCTCTTCCCCTTCTTCTCCTTCTCCCTCGCAACGTCCTCAGGCGTACGGAAGGCAATCGACGGGTCGAGCTGAGCCTGCAGGGCAGCGATCTGAGCGCGCAGAAGCGCCTGTTGCTCTTCGTGCGTTGTCGCTGTCTGGCGCAGTGAGTTCATTGGGTAGAAGGATGTGGTGAAGAGAACGCGTTGAGTTTGCAGTTGGCTGGTTGGTGTAATGAAGTTGGCACAAGACGCGTCGTAATGTCGGTCACGCGTTGGTGTGCTGTCCAAAGGGGGTAAACTTTCCACTTATAATAATGCTGTTCTCCACTTAAATAACAGAGAGAGATCAAAGAACCTTGTACACCTTTGGGGTCATGTGTAAAAAGATATAATGACATCCGATTTAGGAGGATATACAGCAAAATCTAATGGACAGGTCACACGAGCAAATTCCTCTAGAGATAGAATCTATTCTGTTCACATTACATAGCTTGCCCACTTTACCGCACATTCTCGCCAGCGTTTCAGAGGTACCCACACGAAATGAACAATGAAGCAACCATGACAAGGACAATAACATTATTGCTTTGCCTGACCGTTTCCCCGCTTCAGTACAACTATAAGGCGCCGCCAGAACCGCGCGGCATCTTGCCCGGAACAAGCACACACGAAACAGCAACATCACGGCGCCATGAACGACATCAACGGGAACAACATCGACGCTCGTCAACTTCTCGACTCGTCACAACAACAGCAAACGGAGAACCAGGGAGAGGATAGGGTGGGATGGACTGGGAGTACATGTGAGGTGATATGAGGCTCAGACAGCGATGCTGCCGACAACCATCGTAACAATCCGTCTAAGATGAAACTGTAGGCGGGTTAGTATACCCATACGTAATTGGTAACGTACTTACAGTTTAAGCGCCCTTAGGAGCCTCCTTGTAGGAGATAGCCTGCTCCTCACCCATGGCGGAAACGATGGTGACAAGCAGTTCAGCGCCCTCGTCGAACTTGCTCTGGATCTCCTTGCCAAGGTCACCCTCAGGGACCTTGACGTCATCCTTGGGAGTACCATCCTGGAGCATGAGGTTGAGGAAGCCCTCATCGATGTTGACAAGGGCGTATTCATCACGCTTCACGTTGGGGACGTCCATGTTGTGGGTGGAGGGGGAGAGATCTTCCAATTTCTTGCCGGTGAAGATCTAGGGTGAAACGTCAGGAGACGACCCTACAACGCGAGGATGGATACGCACATCAATGCCGACAAGATGGACCTTGGCGTGACCGTGCTTGCCCGTCTTAGAGGTGGACATGTCGACGATCTTGCAGGGGCGGCCCTTCATGACGACTGCATGACCAGATGGATGAGTACATTGACCATGTGGCATCAAAAAGAGCCGGATGCGACTTACCGAAGCCGTTCTTGCGGAGGGCAGAGCACTGCATGGGGAAGGTAAGAGATGCCCCGGCAGACGCCTGCTCAAAGTTCTGTTCATGATGCTCGTCGTCGGCCATTTTTTGATAATACGAAGGGGAGAGGAAAGAGAGGTGAAGGGAGAGAGATGGAAGATGGTGGTCAGAAGGAGAGAGGAGGAGGAGAGAGAAATGGGCGATGAAGAGCGCAATACAGCCGTTGGAAAATGCACGAGGCAGACCACTGTTTTTTTGGCACCGAAGGTTTTCCTTATCAGACCCATTCAGACCCATCGCAATTCCCACATGGAATTTGATGGGTCTGACACTGCCACACCATGCTAATTATACTTCCATTACTGGTCTCATTTGGGTCTTATCTCGCCACTCTTTTCGTTCAACGCATTTGAAGCGCCCATTACAATAGAGCGCATACATCTTGCCCTCATCATGGCAGACGTCCACCACCCTCATCTACACCATGCTGTTCTCTCTACTTTCGCAGCAGAAGGTTTCCAAAAGTCGTCTTCAAACGCTCTCGAGGCTGCCACAGACATCCTCCAGCGCTACATGAAGCTCCTCGCGCGGTCATGTGTCCAGCAAGCGGAGAACGCTGGCAGGTCTGGTGTATCCTGGTTCGACGTTGTAGGCGCGGTAGAGGAGATGGGTACCGAGTTGAGGGAGTTGATGGAGTGGGCTGAAGTTGAGGGCAGGGTGGATAGAAGAGTGGTCAACGAAGAGGATTTATTACAAGAATGGGATGGTAAGCTACTATGTTATGGTCATCCTTGTGTGCTCACTGTCTATCCAGGGCATGTCGAGCATGGACTATACCACGACCCAACAGACAATATACCCTTCATATACGGTATACCCTTAACACCCGAATCCGCAGCGCCCACGCCATCCTCATCAGTGCTCTCATCACCGACGCCATCTCCAAAACCAGAGCACATTCCCCTCTCTCCCGTCTCCCTCTCCCCTCCTTCCTCCCCACCTCCCCGTCGTATAAAATGGGAACCACCATCCTACGTGCCTGACTTCCTTCCACCCCTCCCGGGGGTGGTCGTGCAAGAACCCGAACCGGAGGTAGAAATAAATGGGACGAACGCAGAGGCAGACGATTTCGACGACCTCTTTGCCCTCCCGCATGAGCTAGAAGAAAAGAAACCCTCTGTCGCCCCTCCTACCGCTCCGACCCCGCAACCCATCGCCTCCTTCACCATCCCTACCCCGTTTGCGGCATCGGCCTATGCCGATCTCCCGCGCTCTCTCCTCCCCTCCTCCCCACGCACAACCCCTCCCCCAGAACCGCAGGCCATGAACCCCCTTTTCATCAGTGCGATGCAGATCCTCCGCACAGACACGCACGGCGCAGCTAGTCTGCCCGTCTCCCCGCCCGCCGCACACGCGCTCAGCGGGCTCATCTCAGGCATCGCTTCACGGCGATACGATGCGCCTGACACCTTATTCGGGGGGACAGACTCCCCCTTCGCCCGACATGCAGCACCCACCCCGACCCACGTCGTACCACACAACCCAGATTCCCGGCTCCCCCTCCCACCGGCAACGACAAAGTCCCTCTGCCTCACCCGGGCACCCGCAACTCCCGAACCTCCCTACCTCTGCCCTATGTTCCCCACGCTGACGCAGGCCGTCCTCCCCCTCCCTATTTACACCCGGCTGGAGCGCGTCCCTCCCCCCCCGCTGCTGCAGAACAACGACCAGTTCCTGTACGGTCCCCCCAGGCCGGCACTATGGAACGGGCACGCGCACGCGCCTGTAGGTGCGAACGGGGAGAAGGAACCCAGGGTCGAGGAAGCCACCCTGCGCGCTACGTGGGAGGTGAACTCGCGGGATTATAGGGAGATTTGGGTGGCTAAGAAGGGGCGGATGGCGCTGACGCACCATGCGCTCAAAAGGGAGTGGAGTGGGAGTGGTTCACCTCTGGTGCATATGTTCTAAGCTTTTATTGTTTACCACTTTCGCCTCGTGGGTCACACTTCTGTTGTATACTATCGTCTTATGAACGGACAATGCCAGGTATCTCGTGCTCTAAGGCACATGCAAAGGGCAGCATGGAAAATCAGACTATCTAGGTCGAGATAACAAGTCTCCCTCGAAAAGGTCTGTGGATGTCGGCTAGTTTACGGAGTTCACTGGCCACAATCGATTAATCTAGAAGATAAACTTGGGATGTCTCATGCACCGAGACGGCAGCAGAGACTCCGGGAATCCATAGGTTTGAACATGTTGTACACTCCGTCCAACATTAACCTTCGAGTTCAGCACGACAAGGCGAACACTCAAAATGACATTCTAATTCAACTTGGTCTCGGGACCCACTGGCAGGAGGCATATAAAAACACATCTAGAAGAGTTATACTGGAAATTTTTTTAAAAAAAACGCTGAGGTCACAAAGCCTCAGGCTGCATGGTGGAATTCTCCCCCGCTGGCACCTCCTCCCCCTCAGGAGTCGAATTCTCCCACACTGGCACCTCCTCCTCCTCCTCCTCAGGAGTCGAATTCAGCGGCGCTGGCACCTCCTCCCAGTATGACTGCCAGTGGTCGCCCACGCCTGGCTTTAAGTTGGTGGTTCGAATAAGTAAGCGAGCCTAGCAAGACCAAACCCGGGGGCTGCGCTTACTTTGATATAGGCCTGCCCATGGTCTGGTACACATTGATTAGTAGTCAATGCACTGTACAGTCATGCGTACTTCGAGCTATGCACTGATACTTTCTTCCCGACAGCCTGGTCTTATTACCAGGCACGTATCGATCGTTCAAGTGTCAAACGATCGATATTGAGTTCCTGAGTATTCTGCGTTTCGGGGGCATGGAGTGGGTATTGAATTGTTGATACTGATTACAATTGGGGGATAAAGCAGTTGTTGGGAGAGTTGTTGCTGGCAGTGAGACATTGACTCCAACTCCAACATCATAGGCAAATATGCTTCCGCTTGCACCCTTTTGATGCTCACTCTACAACGACGACGCAGTCTCGTATATCGCTCATGTTCTCCCTATGGCCCACGTTCTCTCGATGGCTCTGGTTCCCCCTGTGGCGGATAGGAACGACTGCCGCGATCGTGCTGGCATCCCTGCTGAAGCAAGTCAACGCTATTTTATATTGGGATGACCGTCCTGTGATATTGGAGGAAGATGATGTCGTAAGTGCGAGAGCTCCAGCGTCTGCCGTGCTGTCTTCTAACAGAAGCGGCTGTATTTTCCTCAGAATATATGGCCCCCAAATATAAGACCCCGAAATATCAAACGCGCACTCAATCGCCGGATGCATGGTCGGGATAGATGCGTAGACGTTCAATACTTAAGCCATGGTGCGTTCGGTATGCTCCGCTCTCCCTCTGCGGCTTCTCATGATCCCACATAGGAGCGTCACATGTTGTATGCGTGATCGCTTCCAAGATCCTGCTGTCTTTTTCTCATTGGTATGCAGGTTCTTCTTGCAAAAACGTCTTATAAAGAGGAGTACGTGGTGCGGGTTACGGGGTCAGTCTACGAACACTTCCAATGGGCACATCCCTTTTGGCAGACTTATAAAGAAACTTCAGAGGTATTATATTCAATGCGTGGGGATGTCCTCCTTGTCTTACATGATCGATCAGGTTGCATCCATGGTGGCCTTGCGAAGGCTAACCAAGATCCCCGTTCCGCGTGTTTACCTCTTCGACGAAGACAGGGACAATGCAGTGGGGGGTGTCTGGACGCTACAAGACTACGTATGGTTATCACCTGGTCACTTGGCCAGGATCTAACGGCGATTAGATGGAGGGTGAACGCTTGTATGAATTCCTGCCTGAACTGTCCGGAGAAGCTTTGGAGCAAGTCCTTGCCCAGCTGGCAAATTAGATGCTGCAAGTTTTTCACCTCGAGTTCAGTCAGATTGGCAGCCTTCACTTCACTCGTCCTCTGAATGAGATTCGAGACGTATGCGACGATGATCTGGAAATTCGAGTTGGAAGACTAGTGACGCTAAGAGACCTTCGAATGGAGAACGAGTACATGGTCGGCTCACCCAAGGACACGGATATGGGTCCATGGGACAGCTCGAAGGCGTGGTTGAAGAGCATCGCTCAAGGTGACATGGACTACCAGTCTTCGTTCGTGGAATTGGACTCAAATGACGAGCATATCCGCCGAATACAACGGATAATTGACGAGCCCGAAGAAAGCAACGGCCTGTTTACAAGCGGTCCTCTGAGTGTCAATGCACCTTGGTGTACAGACATGTGGAACACGCATAACATCCAGGCAGTGTGCAAGGACGGCACCGTCAAGCTCGTTGCTCTGCTGGACATGGAGGGGATGCAAATTGTACCACGCTGGGTTTTGGGTCGACTGCCTCTGTTGGACGAACTCCCAGATGAGAGCTCCAGAGTCTTATGGAAATTTCTTCTGGAGGATCCCCTATACAAGCAAGCGCATGAGCAAGGGTCAAAAGCACGACACTTGCTGGTCCTGGCGCAGAATGCCTCGGTACCGCATTGGGCTGACAAAAGGATCGAGGAGTTCCGCGATGGCGATTGGGAAGACAATGGAACGTTGGCAGGATAGCATGTTTCGATTCGTGTTCTCGAGCTCGATTAGATTGGGAATGTAATAATGAGGTGCCCGTGAATTCTGATGGGCCAACCAAAGACGACAATTTTCTGACATATTTCTGCGTGCTTGACTGCCAAGCTCTGTCTGTCGCAGTACATCTTCGACTAACGACACGGGCTCGCGGTCCCCTCCCGACCTTCTGACATCAGCCCTTAGGCTCAATCGCTCCGAGTCGGTGCCTTCCGAGCTTTCTCTTGCTGAAATCGTCATTATCCTTGGCACACGGCTCCGCGACCCGACATATATCGTACTGTCATATTTCCCAACCTAAAGACTGATGGGCTTGAACGGCTTAGTGGCTGCTTTCGTTGCTCAAGAAGAGAGGGTGGGTGGTTCATCGTACGGAGAGTTCACCAAACAAGCTATACAATTGGCTTTTCCAAATGTGATCTAGTACACGACCTCTCATATTCATATTCAAATTCATTATAAACATGGAATGGACTGCCGAGGCAGCCACTCAGTGCGGAAAATCCACTCCTAGATCCCGTAGACCAAGAGAAAATGTAATTTGAGGGGATGCTGCGCCTCTCTCCAGAAGCGCTCCTGGAAGAGCGGATGGTTCCTCGAGAGATGCAGCCGAAATTCCTTGCGATAGACCAGCTCTTCTTTCATCGCTTTGCGAAGTCCCGCCTGCCAATCCACACCTTCCTGGCCACATTCGGGTGCTTCCATTATTTGTAAAGTATCATCCGGTGGCACCCAGGGAAAACCGCCCGTCGTCGTTAACCATTGGTCTGTTGTACTATGGGTGGAGGAGATGTCGTCCGGATATCGCGCAGGCATGAATCGCGGCAAGACAGCCACCCCTTGTAGATCGATGAAGCCGATAACACGACCCGTAGCTCATGTGATGTCAATGTTGCGGTTTAAGCAGGCAGAGAGCGGGTAGGGCATACTCGGGTTACATATGATATTACGCCACGCAAAATCACCAATGACGAGGCACGGTTTGGCAAGGTTCGGGGACAGTGGGCGGGCAGAGATCAGTCTCAGAATGAGGGAAGCTGCTGTTCTGACATCCTCCGTGGTGACTTCTTGGTCTTTCTTCCAGTTTTCGAGATCGAGTCGAGCTGCTTCAGCCTTTAAGATCTGTTTCCATAATTCTTGTACAGATGTCGTGGACGCTCGCGGTAGTGCTGCTTCTTCTCCCCGGGCGGTTGGAATAACGAGCCTCCGACAGGTAGGGTCCGACCATGAAATCCCCAATCTGAAGCTCTCCATCGTTCCTGCCGTGTTCGACTTGAGTTTGCAAATCATGTCGCCTAAATGTGATCATGCCGAGGGAGGAGAAAGGGCATGGTTGTGCCCATGACGCCGACTCGTGGTGGAACTGAGTATAATCGCGCTTTGATCAGCCTCCCGAAGCGCTACAGCCTGTCGAGATTCCCCCCGGTGTTACCGCGGTGCCAGGTGGCTCTGGCGGAAACGTGGACATTGAGGTTGGAAAGCATTGTGAGACGGTCATCCACGTCAACCCTGTTGTTCCGGAGCTTGTTCCAGAGCGTGCTGCCTCTTATGCCCCGTCTCGCGCTCACTCTCGTTCCCCATCCCTTGCTCCGTCTTGAGCCCCGTCTCGCGCTGCCTGTCAAGCTCCACCCGCTCCCAGCGAGCGCCGGGAACCGAGATGGCGCTCGATCGATGCGTGGTGGGCCTACGTCCCGCAATCCTCAGACCAGTTATACGCTCGATCCCCACGAGCTCGCAGACCTGGTGAACAAGGCTCATTTCCAAGATAACGACATTCGCACGCTCCTCGGCGTCCATGCCAATCCTAATACGCCGGACGTCGTAAAGAGAGCGGCGAGAAGCTATGTAGTTAAGCGACTCCGCAAGGTTGGTATGGTAGGGCCCGCAGACCAAGTGAGTAAACGGACGCATCGCTTGTTGCCGAGATACTTACCATCACCTTCAGCTTCTGAGGGACGCGCGTGCGTCGTCTCGCGCGTACAGTCGTGCAGACAGGGAGAATGCTACTACTGAGCCTAAGTTCATGAGTCCGCAGCAGCCCGGGGTCAATATCCCTGAGAGCAATGTACGTTGGATTCATCACTGCGCAACTCCTGACAGCTCAGGGTAGGTTCCGCCGGCATGGGCCGAGCCTCTCTTGGACATACTTGCCCGTGCCCAGAGCAGACTAGATGATCCCCATTGACTTCCACTCAGATCCAATTCACATCCCACAGTATCCATGGCTCGGCCCTGCAGTACATATGTGCATCTCACTCCTCCAACTACTTGTCCTTGTTCCTCTGCTACCCATCCTCATTCCTGCGACCAAATACCTTCCACCGGAGCCTGTGTCCGAGCGTATGGGTCTCGTCATCTCCGCCGATGATGCTGCTCCCCCAACAGCCGACACTCCTGCAAGCGAGAACGGATACGGCACACTCCCATCAACAGGTGTCGCCACCTCTTCCCCCACGGGCGGACAAGCTTCCCCAGCTGCTGAATCGAATGGCAAGACCAAAACCACCCCAGCTACTACGGAAGGCAAGAAGGAGAAGGACGAAGAGGCATCTCTGAGATGGTGAGAGATGACCAAGCGACTTTGGACGCTTGTGCCGTACTTCGGGCCTGCATGAGTGTAGCGTCTTCAGGCTTTGGCAGTATGTTACCGTGTTGCACAAAAATAGGAATAGAAAACTGATACCTTTGCGCCATGGACAGGCAATTTGTATCATCTTGCTGCCGCTCGGCTGTGCGGTCAACATGCTTATTCCTATGACGCTTGCACAATTGATCGACGCCCTTACGTTTGTACCTGTGAGTGATCTGCCGGGACAGGACGATGGTAGAATGCTGATGCAGTCTTTCCCGTTTGCAGCTCACTGGTGGCCGCTGGCGAAGTATATCACTCTCGGATTGATTTCGAGTGGAGTGTTGGACAAAGTCAGGAGTGCATTATGTAAGTTCTCTCGGTACTCTACTCCCTTCTAATTTCCTACTTGTTTCGTGTGCTGTGGTGACACGAACTGTGTCCAGCGTTCCCTGTGATAAATACTCTGACCGAGAGATGAGCTTTTTGTCATTTGATCATCTTATGAATCTGAGCCTCAGCTTCCGTAACAAACGGAAGTTGGGCGAGGTGACCAGGATCTTGAACCGGGGATCATCTGTCAACACGTTGTTCGAAGTGGGTACCATTCTACACAGGGAAGTATGGTGGACGTTCGTGGACAGCTCGTTAGAGGCCCTTCAGGCGGCAATAGGGGCTGAAACTGGTGGGGACATGTCCTCAAAATAGGGATTTAAAATGCTGTGCATATTTGTCTCCATATCAAGTTAAGTGGAAACAGCATATTTGCATCTGCAGAAGCTAATATACCTCCATGGAATTAAATAGAGAAAAAAAAAACTCAATCAGAGAGAGTAAGAACTTCCACAGAAGCAAATGGAGGCAAAGCAATGAAGCAGAAGCAAAATCTTTGCCTGTGTGAGGCACTTATCTGCTTCCACTCCCATTGGAAAGAAAAACTACATCAGGCCCTTGACTCAAATGTGGACCTTTTACCCCACTCACAGCCACAAAATTCAGAAAAACTATTGGAATCAAACACAAATATAGAAAAACCATGGATTCAAGCAAAAAGCCAAGGTCCCTTATTGTGAGGGCAACACAATCCAACACAGGTAATGAGCAAATCAGAGAGTAGTGAGTCATACATCAATCAACACCTTGACATTTGTTCACAAACAGAGTGATCAACAGGGGTTCTATAGAGTAAGTGGTGATTGGCAGCCAACAGGCACAATTGTGTGTGTGTCATGTGCACATTTGAAACAATTAAAGCTTCGGATTTAGAGCCTAATGACCTTGGACCATTGTCAGGGTTGGCCCAGTTTTGGTGCAAATTTGATACAATCAACACCAAGAGGCTTACTTTGGCCTCAGTATAGCCTGAATCCACCAACCCTGAAGCTGTCAGGGCACACCATCTAGCAAGCTCAAGATCTCATATCAAGGGCAAAGCTCCAATCTTGGTGTAGCCCTGATGCCTAAACAACCCAATATTGAGCATGCTGGAGCTCAGTTTGGGTGAATGTGACACCAGGTGTAGTGAATGGGAATAGTGAGGGGATGGTCAATACATTGGACCATGTTGATATCCAGGAGCACTAAGCATCTTGCATGCTATTGAGTGTCTTGTGTGTTCTTGAACAATATCGTAGAGTCCTTGGCCATGATGGGAAAGGGGAGTAGGATTGAGACAGAATCGAAGGCATTGGTAATCCATTGATATGACCACTGGCCATAGACTGGATCTGCAAGCTGTCAACTTGCTGTTGAGAAGGGGTTTCATGAAGTGAAGAGGGGTGTGAGACTCTTGAATCAAGATATTGTGAGGTGTCAAGAGACAGCTGCCAATATCATCATGACTCTCAGAGCATTGGTTTGGGGAGTTGTGGATATCAGTGGGGGTCAACACCAACTGATGGGGAATGCTGACTAGGCTTTGTCCTCTCATGCATATTGGCTGTCCATATAGTGGAGTTCTGAGCATTGAGAAAGGCAGCATGGAGCAAGTGAGAATGCAATACTGAGGGGCTTGTCCATATCAAGGGGAATTGGCTGTTCGGCTGGGCTGAAGGTCCAATATTGTCCCAAGATAGGGCTATCAACCAGAGCTTGAGTTGTCTGAGAGGAGGACTCAGCATATCAGTCAAGCAATTGGCTGCTCAGAGAGGTACAACAAGTAAATCAAGGTAATTGTGAGTGGAGGATGCTCTCTCAATGTCAATATTGAAGAGAGGGTCACACTATTGAAGCACACTTGGCTTCTCAAGGGAGATCGGTCATAAGACCAGAATATTGACTAGACAGTGGAATTCCTGAGAGATCAAATCTAAGGAGTACATCACAATAATGGGTGACTCTATGTACAAAAGGGTCAGAAGCAGTTCGAGATTGTGGCTGATAATCTGTACAGGAGAGGTTACCTCAGGGCAAGCCTGTGTGGACTTGATGCCAAGATGGCAATATCATCTTGATATTACCAATGAGCTGATATTGTGGGAACTTGCTTCTCAATGCCTTCTTGGTCTTCAATATTGCTGAACCCTGATATTGTGACTTCTCCAAGTTCCTGAGTAATCCCAATAAGTGGTCCCTGACATGAGATTGCATGTGATACCACAGGAAGGTGGTCAAGATAGGAGTGCACCCTGGTGTTAGGGCAACACAGGCGGACTAAGTCTGCTCACCTAAGAGTGCCAAGAGTCTAAGCAGGCAACAAGGAAGTGGAGTAGACCTGATGACTAAGACCTATCTACAGTATAGGTACCTGTGGATGATCCTAAGAGACCAAGTCTGAAGAGACAGTCCCCAGGCAGAGTAGGCCTTATATTTATACCTCTGTGGTGGAACCTGCTAGAACATCTTGCTTACTCAGCCTAGTCAGGTGATCAGGTCATATGACCAAGGATGAGGTCATATGAGGTCATACACAGCCATGCACAGCAGGTCACCTGACCATCCAATCCTTCCAGCAGGTTCCAGCACATGCCAAGGTATACCAGCTACTTCCATGTCATAAAGGCTTAGTCATGTCTCTTGACCAAGCAATGAGCTG